ATGATGAGCGAACACTGAGCGAGAAATGCCCGACAGGTTCCCAACTCTCCAGCGAAGCGTTCCGGGGGAGGTAAGCAGGGTTCTCGGGAAACCGGGGTGGCCGGGGAGGCTGCGCTGCTAACAGCCGGGTTACTCTGTGTGGCAGCTTTTTTCCTTTCATGGGCCAGATTGGGAGAATATCCTGCAAACTAATACACAATGCTGCTATATCTTAATGACTTGAAAAACAGTTGTTCAGATTAGGAGCTCTCTAATTAAATCTAAGGACAGACAACACTCCAGCGTCGGAACAGGCCTAATGTATTCCTCCCTTTAAATAAATCTCTCATTCCAGAGAGGCTCCTCCTTTGACTCTGTGCCTGCTGCACAGACTGCTGTCTGTAAGTGGCAGGCTTTAAGTTGCTTGTTTCTAACATGGCGGATGTGGTCTGTCTTCGCTCCCCTCTTCAGCAGATAGGGATGAGGGAGACAGCTCAGAGCGGGGCTTGTTTACAGCCGGATGGAAGAAAACAGCCAGACATAAACAAGGGTTGACGGTTTCATGAAGCACAATTGGTTGATGGCAGATTCAATGTGACTGGGATGAACTGGGCGATGATCCGTACAGTATGCAAAATTCACTTTCTAGCTGGTCTGTGCCCACCAGCCTAGTAGCAGTCTTCACCCCAAACCCTCACAGCTCCAGCTTTGAATTGAACCCGAACTGAACAAGGCATTGTTGTGCCCAATTCCTTTTGACAACAATCACATTCAGATTTTTCTTGTCACCAGTTATAAATAACGTTTTTCTCGTCTTGACAACAAAGTAAGCATTTTTTATGTGCAAACTCAATGAGGGGAGGAAGGAGCATGGCTTTGAGCAGCAGAGGATTGGATGACAACAATTAATTCAGGGCATTTTTCCTTTGTATTCAGGGCTTGTTATAATACACCAGATCTTCTTGGCACATGACTCCAATTCAGCACCATTAATTTAATATATGTATGTTCGTTAGAAAGCCATGCCAGAAGATATTTGCCCCTCTGTAGTTTATCCTGCGTGTAATATTGTTAGAATTGGAATAGTTGTTCAGATCCCTAAAATCCAAACTGGCAGAATTATGTCACCACTATTACCTTCTTATCACTTGCATGATTATTGTTTTATATATGAAACATCTGCATCCTGTCAGAACACACTGGGTGATTGTCGTGTAAAAACCTATATGCTGTTACTGCCAGTGGAAACCAAGGAAGGAGAAGGGAAACATTAGATGGAGTGGATTACATGGAGTTTTCTGAATTCTATTTTTAGGGACAGTGACCAAAAGCGTTCTGCTCACGGCATGTATCCTCCCCATGGTTACCATTACTAACATGGTTACTGAGGTTTGTCTTAAGCAGGAACTGAACTCAAGGCGATACATTCATGCAAATCTCAAAATGTGTTGACAGTTGGTAGAAAACAGAGCTAATGTATCTGCATGCTGAGGAATGATGACCAACTCCCATTTTTTATTTAGCCAGCCAGCCCTTCTCATGTGCAGATGTACACTTCAATGTCATGAGTTTGTCTTTTGATGTTGGTTTTGGTGTTACTTACGTTAGACTACAGCTTGCTTTTCTAAACAGCAGATTGAGGCAGAAATTCAGCACTTACAGTAAATACAGAAATACATCAAACTCAAAAAAGTCCTATGACATAACAACAGACTCAGTTTGACTCTACAGATAGGGAAAGGTTGTCTGCAACAGGCCTATGCAATAATGTAGCGTTGTAGAATTACAGTAAACTGTACATTTAAATGCACTGGATTACAGATGTAGGATCTTAATTTTACCAGTATTGTAGTAGCAAAATAATCCTGCAGCAACAGGATTTGAACGTTTAGTCCATACTGTTGCTTGATCGGTGGTTAGGCTATTAGCTGGACAAAAGTAGGCCACATGAAAAGTGCAATACTGTTAATATATGTCTGTTAGTGAGGGTTTTCAGTGAATTTATGTAAATCACGAAGCTCATCTGTGTTTTCTGCGGCGCAAGAAAATTCTCAGCATCAAAAGAGAGATCAAATTAAAGGCAGTGTTAAAGGCAATTTTATATTTCTATATTTTCTATAGGGAAGGCAGCAAATATGAATAATTAGAGGATGTATATTTAATTGTGGCCTAAGATAAAACAACGCGTGATAATTAAATGGGATTTAGGCCCATATAAAGTGTTTTTCAACTCCCTCTTCATAGTGCCTTAGTCTCAAGGGCAAAAACAATTATTTGAAAAATAAAGACAGGCTATCCGCCCACATTGTTCTAATTTGATGATTAATTACACTACAGATGTAGGATCTTAATTTGAGACCAGTTTGCTAAAGCAGGAAAATAATCCTGCAGCACCAGGAAATTATTATATGGATTAAAATTAATCAATCTTTTGTGTAGGGGTTGATACATTTTACATTAGGGCAAATCAAGTCTGACATTTTAAAGTGGAAATTACAAACTTTAGAATCCTTTTTTAAACCTTCCTGCCGTGCAGGAAAATTATCATCAACAAAAGAGTGATCAAATTAAGATCCTACATCTGTAGCTAACCAAAGACCAGCCCCCCCCCAGTGTCTCAATGTGTCAACTCTACTTACTGTACTAACCCTATAATATCACATACACATACCTGCTGTCATTTACTGTGCGTTCCTCAACATGCTGCATTATTGCATATGCTATAGAGTGTTTCTCAAATGTAGATAGCTGTTTCATTGTGTATTTATCTCCAGTTGTCCTTGATGAATTCTCAGAAGTATGATTTGTAGGTTGCCCCATGTGATTCAGGACATCCAAAAGCCAAACTTAAAGAACCACCACCGCCACCGCCACCGCCAACAACAACAACAACAACAACAACAACAACAACAACAACACAAACACCATTTTGCATGCGGCTGCATCTTTTTTTAATTACTAACTCGGGCTGTTACGCAATCATGTAAACTGGTGCATAAACAAGGCGATGTTCATTGTGTCATTTCCCTATTAGCAAACTCACGACTTGCTTGTTTCTCAAGTAGGGGTACTATTATAACTTCCTCATCTACTTTTGGATATGAACCAAAAACTGTACAGTGTGTTAAAAAAAAGACGTTTGACACTGGAAAAGGAAACTGAATCCACACACTTAGTGTCTCTGGTTGGTGTTTAAAGTCTTACTGTTGTCTACAACTGGGAGAAATTGATTGGAATGCAGTGGAAAGAGAAAATGGTTTTTAAATAAGTTGCAATTAGATAACAATTCATCTCTATGGTATAAATGAATTACTTGCTTTAGGGCTTGTTGGATGTAAAAACAGATTAACAAAACTGTTCTTTCCAGATTGTAACGTGTCCTCCACTATTTTAATTGCTCTGTCATTTTTTTTTTTTTTTTTTTTAAACACTCCGCCCTCCCCTACCCCTGATTTTGTCTTTGAAATTAAATATTGTATACAAATACATGCTGTTCATGGGAATGGGCACAGTTCATCATCAGAATCTGCATAAATGATTCTTGAAATTGAAGTTCAAAATGCTTTGAGGCTATAGAGACTTGCATGTACAGGACAATAAACATCCATAAAAAAAAATATACTTGTGGTTTACCTTGGCTGTTCTTAGTGGTCTTCTTGTACACAGAAATGAGACACCATTTGTTCCACCATTTGTTCCACCACTGCGCCTCCCGAGTGGCGCAGTGGTCTAAGGCACTGCATCGCAGTGCTAGCTGTGCCACTAGAGATCCTGGTTCAAATCCAGGCTCTGCTGTAGCCGGCCTGCAACCGAGAGACCAATGGGGCGGCGCACAATTGGCCCAGGGTAGGGTAGGGAATGGCCGGCAGGGAGGTAGCTCAGTTGGTAGAGCATGGCGTTTGGGGGCTAGTATGAAAATATATTTTTTAAAGTCGCTCTGGATAAGAGCGTCTGCTAAATGACGTAAATGTAATGTAAAATGTTGATATCAAAGGGGACATTTCCTACTTTCTATTCCCTAACAGACCACTCTCATAGACCTCTCTCAATGGGATGACATTGCCTCCAAGAGTTTTGAGCATATAGAAATATCTGTGAAAAACATGAAGTCAAACTCCTTAATATTGCATTGAAGTGATCATTGAGAAATAACATTTATAGGCCATGTACAACTGTAGTTGGCTTTCAGTGATAAAGGTTTGTATTTCCCCCTTTTTTGTGTAAACTAATAATGTTATATTGTGGACATGTACTGTAGGCCATTGCATGGACTTCTGTTTGGTAGGGGAAAAGGGACACTTCATCTAACTCCTTTGGAGCACACTGAATGGATCACAGCAAAGCTATTTTAGGAAGAGTCACAATATGCTGTGGTTAAGTGAAAATGTTCCATGATGCTTTGGGATGTACATCAAAGTTAACAAACAGCTATGGACCCCAGTTACTATGGGGCATTCAGGAGGGCATAGGATATTATGAAAGGTTCGCTGCAAGTTGGGTTGTGTTTAGGCTTTGCTTTGCAATTCGCTTTGTATCACATACTGCGCTTCCCATAAATCCAGTATTGAATATTTTTCAAAGCATCACAAAGAATAGCAGAGTCCTTGACCTCTCTAATTTAAGGAGCCTTATTCTCCAGACTTTTTAGGATGTGTTCATGAGAATGTAAGTAACGAGCAATGCGCTTGGATTTCCACATTAATTTGCACAATGAATCTGCACACTCTCACAAAGACTGTGTAAAAATTCATAATTTGTGTGTTGTTTTCTATTCATTTGGAAAAAGGAGGAAGTATTTTAATGTGACCTTCATTACGCATTCATGTCAACTTTTCTTATCTATTTACGATTACATTTTTTCCCACTCCTGTTGTTCAATTAGTGCTTGACCCCTTTAGCGGCGATGTAAATTAAATGACATTTCGGTGTCGTCCCATATTTAAAATACTGCGTTAGTTGTGGATCATAAATGATGATCTTCATTCTGCAGCTAATTTATTCATTTAACAATTTCCCTCCAG